CTATTAGGCAAAATTAAAGGGTGAATTAATTTAGCCCACGGAAGTCCTTTCATGACTAAACCATCAATGCATTGTCAATTATTTTCCATTACAATGAATCGATATTATGGCTGGTAGTGTAGCAAAATCTTCTTCAGCTCTACGTGTCCGACATAATTTCATTTGGGTATGATATGATCTGATCTAATCAATTATTATTATATAATTTTTGGCTCTTATATAAGTTGCATGATTAGATATGTCCATTGACCATTGATCATGTCAAGATGAACTTAAAGGCCAACTAACATACATTTCTGGATTTAATTCTATCAGTTTCATATATATATATATATATATATATACAGCTCTTCCTCCATGCCCTATGATCACATTTTTGGAAGCAATTAATTATTAATTATTCACTTATATGAAGAATCAAGACAAAAACAGTAAATTGTAATGAAGAACATGCATGCATGATCTTGCTTGCACCATATCTTATGATTCATTGAACATTTCATGTTATAATTACACACCAAATTAAATCACTTGCCATGACTTCTGGGTAACCATGCTTACATGGAATGTCTCCCTCATTAATCCCCGATTTCGAAACTTTTGGAATTAGGGTTTAGGACACTCTATTCATTAAAAAGTGTGTTTCCATTGCTAATTTAAATTTCTGGGTCATCATCTATTAAAAAGTACTAACAAGTTTTCTATTTATAAGCTTTGACGAAAAAATTAATTATATATGCGCACAAGACTTAATATATCAATGGCCTCCTAAAGAACTCGTGTGTATATATATATATATATAGGGCCGTTTCGAACTTTTTTGGGGCACTGAGTAAAAATTAATTATAGGCTCTATAAACATATGATTAAAATTTATTTTAAAAATAATATTACTGATTGACGTCGATTGTACAAGATGTTGAATGTGACATCTGGGCAGCGTCGATTTGAGGAAAAAAGATGAAAAACGGACCGTTTGGAGGTTCGAAAAGCAAGGACTGGGGGAGGGTGAAAGAGAGAAAAGAGAGAGGGTGGGACGGGTTTGGTTTAAGTGGGTGGGCACAGTGCGACAGGGTGTGAGGTAGAAAAATATAGACGACAGAGTTTGGTAATAATATAGGCCTAAACAGTTGCTTACTTTGCTCCTGCTAAGAGCCGTCCATGTATATATATATCCGTTGTTAAGGTCGAGCACGTGTACGGGTTTTCCTTGTCGATAAAATGGTGACAAGTTGTAATTAAGATGTAAAGGATAATGCAGGGTGGGAAAGGGTTCATAGCCATATAGGCGATCGATGTCGATGGGATCAATGGATAATTACGTACAGGAAAGTGATATATATGTGAGATGAGAGGGATATATGCATGAACAATCAATTAATACATGTTGAATACCAACAAAGGGTCCCCTACATATAACATACATTCTTCAAAAACATTACAGCCCAATCCCACGTGATCCAGCAGCCTCAGCTTTATACACACACATCTATTACTTATCTTATTACATCATTATGTTAGACTAAATATCATCACTAGATTACTAATAACCCAAGCCTAACTACTAATAGAGCGGTTCAAATCTTTTGTTCCATTTCCTCTGTGCCATCTATTTCATCCAATCAAATAAATCACCTATAATAAAAAATAATAATATCTATTAATTAATTCACTAAAATTAGTATTTATTTAATTAATTCATTCAAATTACTATTATACCCTTACAAAAATATCTGGGTTTTTTTTTTTTGTTTTTTTCTTTTAGTAATACAATTTTCTTCTTTTTTTTTTTTTATATTTAGATATTGTCTTCCGTTGTTTTTCTTGTTCGCTGTCATAGAAGATTTTTGTCCATTGCCTCCTGCTACCTTTCTTGTTCAATGTCATTGGAGATTTTTCCGGTGCCGGAGTTGACGTCTACCTCTTCATTCTCAGTACTATTTTATTCTCACTTAGATTCTCTATATATAGTTGATTTTTTTCCTTCTAATCAAGTCAAACGGACCGGAAATATTTTGAATTGAATCCAACAAAGAATAAAAAAAAATCTCAAATTAATTACAACTTCGACTTCCAAAAAAAAAAAAAGTGATTGCTTTTGTAGGAGGTCACTTGTTGCCTGCCTGCTCCATGCTTCTTTTTATTTTTCATATTGATATTAGATTAATTGATTTTATTTTTTTTAATAGGATCCTCTTACAATTGTATTATATGTTAGACACAAATTTGTCAGATGCAAATGAAAAAAAAAAAAAAAAAATCAGGTATATTATCTTTTTATATCTATAATTATTATATTTTTTATTTTGACTGAAATGCTTAGATAAATTATTCTAAATAAAATTTAATATTTGTTGTAGAAAATTCTTGTTGCCAATGAAAAAAGTAATGGTCACATAATTATAGGTGGTTCACGTTATGAAAGTTTTAATTTGATTCATTGTATAAATTCATTTCAAAAGAACAGATTCCCCAAATAAGTATGAAATTTGACAATAAAAGTTTGGTTGGAGATATATATTCTGCATTTGGTAAGAAAATTGGGTTTGGTGTTAGAAAAAACACATTTTATAAGAAAATAAAAAAATTTGTTGAAAGAATATTTTATTGTTGTGCTACAGATAAAAAAAAAAAAAAAAACCGATAAGCGAGATATTTATGTGAAAAAATTGCATGCTGAACTAGATTAGGGTATTTGGCAAAAATAAAAATACATTTGAATAAAAATTAAAAGTATGAGATTGTAAAATTTATTTCAGAGTATAATAATTACTTATCTAGCACTGATAAAACTCATTTATTTAGATCATATACAAAAATAATTGAATCTCGTATTATTGAAATTGAAATAGCAGATAATGTAGATAGTGCACCAGCATTATCTCATGATTATATAATCAAGTAAGCAATTGGTCTTGATAATTTAGGATTTATTTTACAAAATTATAGAAATTATTTGCGTTCAAAGAGAACTTAGGATATGAAAAATGGAAATATGGGGTGCGTACTTGAATATAAACGAGAGATGCATGTAAAAGATTCGAATTCTTTTCACTTAATTCAAGTTGATGAGATGATGCAATAACTAATATATTTTGGACAGATGGAAAAATAAAAGTTGATTATATTGTGGAGATGTGATATCTTTTGATACAACTTTATGGGACGAATTTTCAAAACCGTCCTCTTTCATTAAAATTAATCCACTTGGGTGCGACACATATATTAAGAAAAATTGAATATTTTATTGAAAAAAAAATAGGTAATTGGGAGTATTTTTGAAAATATAGTTAGAAATTAATGTAAATTAAGAGATAACAAGCTAGTGATATTTGTTGTAAATAATTATTGAATCTATGGTAATAATTATATGTTGATTTGTTGACTTTGCAAAAATTAGTAATAGTATAAATTTAGCAGACGAACTAATAAGAAAAGTGCCGGACATTATTAGTTTTTTTTGTGCACTTTTAAATAATGAAACTACTGCAATATTTAAATTATTATTTGATGTATTTTCTTGTAACATATAAGGTAAAAAGCCAAACTATTTGACTAATGAAGATGCAGTAATGACCAAAGTCTTAGCTCCTACATGGCCAGAGAAACACCACAAGTTATGTATTTGATATATATATATATATATCAAATTGCTGCTAAGATTTAGGTGGGATATTTGACAAATTCAAAGTTTTTCACATACTTTGTAATATTTTCTATTTTAGTCCCTCTTACATGCCTTGCAATATTTTTGAAAAAAAGGAAATTAATATGCTTATTCTCGTTACACTAGTAGACATTGTTAAATAGTACCATCATCTGTCCTACATACTTTGTAATATTTTCTATTTTAGTCCCTATTACCTGCAACATTTTCGAAAAAAAAGAAAATTAATACGTTTATTCTCATTACACAATTTAAATACAAATAAAAAATAAAAAAATAATACATTTTTTCTCTAATCACATCACATAATTTCTATTTTATTTTATCCTTCTAAATTCTCATGTTGGAATCAAAATGTTGCTTCTTATATCGGACAGAGAGAGTATGATAATTTGACATTAATACCCACAAAAATGTGTAACCTCTTTTATAAATTTTACTGCTATAAGTAATTTGTAATTTAGTAGAAAAAATTGTTAAATAGTATACGAGAATTTGGCCCTAATACCTAAAAATATGCAACATCTTTTGCAAATTTTACTGTCATTCGTACTTTTTAATTTAATAGACATTGTTAAATAGTAGTCCCATCTGTCCCACGTGCTTTGTAATATTTTCTATTTTTTGTCTTCTTTATATGCTCTGAAATATGCCGATCTCTCCTTCATTTTCTCCAAGAACCACCAGGCCGGCTGGCCTCTCACCGATGAGAGCGCCGGCGGCGTAGATGCCGGCGTTAGCCGATGCGGGGTTGGTCTCCTACGGAAAGGGCAATGCGGTGCTAGGGCTTCAAGGGAGGAAGGATTGGTTAAATTTTTTAATAAATAAATGGGAGAAATAAAAATTGAATTTCGAGAGTGAGTTAAAAAGAGTCACTGAGATGTGAACTTTTTATTACCATCAATTTGACAGGCTGATAGTATGTGACACGTCCGACTGAAATGTTTCATTTGAAGACAAGAACCATTATTCTTGCTATTACATTATTCAAAGAAAAAAATATATATTTTTTTGTCACATCACATTATTTTATTTTATTTATGACGGAGAGAATATATAGAAATTTGGTATTAATATCCTATGTAATTTTTTTTTATAAATTTTATTCTAAGGTAATTTATAATTTAGTAGACATGGTTAAATAGCATACAAAAATTAGACATTAATACCCAAAAATATGTAATTTCTTTTATAAATTTTACTGACACATCGTTTCTAATTTAGTAAAATGTGAAAAGGTAACTCAATCATTCACCCCTAAATTATCTTAAGATCAAACAAAATAACCTTATTTCAGAAGCGCTTCTCACAAAGTGTCGACGGCTTCCCCTCTTTTCTTAGAAAAATAATCATAAATCATCGCGACGGCTTTAAAATTGAGAGGGATTTTTCGAGTTGGCATCGCTCCGACCTGGTCCAGGCAAAGCGGCTTCGATGAACATTTTTCCCCTCCTCCCCTCATTCTTCTTTTTCTCTCCTTCCCCTCCGTTCACTTCTTCGGCATCCTCGAGCGAAGCTGTAAAATCCCACGTTTGAACCCTCAATCGACGTGAGTGGCCGTCCTATGCTGGCTTTGCCTCCATCATCCTCGTACTTTGGTTCCCGGCTTTGACATCGTCCCCTTGACATTTCTTCTTCTGCAGCTTCGTCCGAGGATTTGTAAGTTTAATTCTTGCACTAATTTTGATATATTTATTGTTATCAATGTTAATTTCATTTTTTTTTAATATTGATTTCTAGGGTTAGAGTTGTTTTCTATTATCAGTTTCACTGCATATTATTTGTTGTTATGTTTGGTTAGCCTTTTTGTATATGTTGTTATGCAGCTATTTCAATTTTAATTCATGGCCAATTGCTAGTTCTTTGTTGTTGTATTGATCCAATCTTTATTCATTAGGTGTTTCTATCAGATTTACGAAATACCGATGTTAAAAGTAAGAACCTGTGTGTCCTTGACTTGTAGAGTACAAAATTCATATCTAATTATAATTCATATACGGATGGATGGTTTTAGTTTTGGTTTGAATTGCAGAGTTCTAATGGATGGATGGATAAACCATAATGTTTGATTGAGCTCTGTTTGATGTGTGGGAAAGCAACTCTGATTTATTTATAAAGATATGCAAATTCAAGCTGTTTTATATAAATTGATTGTTTTATGCAATTCAAATTGGTTTATTTATTTATGCAAGTCAAACGGCCAATAGATTGAGAAAATCTTTGCCGATGTTTATATGAAGAACATTATTATTTTTATGTAAATTTTTGCGTAGTAACAAAAAATTTAGCCAATTGAGGAGTTTGATGTGCATATTTATGTGTATATATATATATATATATGTGATGTTTAGGGAGTTTGGTATTTATGTATATTTAGCCATTTCAGGGAGTTTGGTGTGCATATGTATCTATATATATTATGTTTCCCATTTTCTCAGTGTTCAACGAGGTTGGACTATTGTAACCAATATATTGGAGTGCTATATAGTGTTTCTTCTTATTTAATAGTTATTCTTTGGTAGGTTTTGAAATATGAAAAGCTAAAAGACTTGGCTGCTGCTGCTTTGGCTTACAAGTGCATGGAAGTTGTGGTTGCTCTAATGGTAAATTGGAGTAAATTTCGGGATCAGTGTTATGTTTGAAGCAATGACAGGGAAGCGAAGCTTCGGCTAAGCCATTATCTGAAGTAAGAGAGCTGATTTTGTTCCACAACGACACCTTTTTTGACCTTCAACAACCAGTTTTTCTCTTTCATTGGGAGATTCTTTAGTTCGGTTGATTGATTGGCGCTGGTGTTCTTTTGTGGTCCTAGAACTTCCGGTTCTTTGACCTTGATTCAATCGACAAGGCGGTTCGAAGTGAGGAATTGGACTGTATTTTCTTTTTGTTTCCATGCTAACCTTGAATTCTCATAATTTCTGAACTTGTTAGCAACAATGTTTCTCCATAGGTTTCCATTTTGATCCGTTCATTTTATTAGATTATATTACTATTGTTTTTGCTCATCAAGTACTTGATCGAATCTTGGGCAATTGTGTTGTTCTTATCTTGTTGTAGCCATTTTATTCTAATTGTATTCCATCGAAGCTTCCTTTGCTGTGTGAACTGTATACTTTCTTGGATTTAAGTTTTGACATGTTTCCTTTCAAACTGTGGGAATTGGTTGGTTCTGTCTGATGCCTTCTCACTAATCTAAATTAGTATATAATAATAATAATAATAATAAGGGAAAAAATAATTTTGGTGCAAATATAATTCAAATTTATCAATTTTGGTTCCAATATAAAAAGTTCATCAATGTTAATCCAATTATAAATAATTTCAATCAATTTTGGTTCTACCATTAAAAAAATAACGGAAATTAGTGACGTGGACGTAACAAGGTTGATGTGACAGCTGATGTATAGTGTAAATTATACACGCCAATGTTTTCACACAACTATGTTTAATTCTACGTGGCCGTGTACTTTATGTTTTGGTCTAAAATTTTAATTTTTTTTGTATATATATATATATATTTAAAAATAATATTTTGAATTTAGAATAGTTGATATAGTTAAATAGAAAAAATCAATAGTAATCCTAATATAATTAAAATATATCAATTTTAATTAAATTATAAAAATTTATCGAGAATGTTCTTTTGGAAGATTTTGCTTAAAATTCTACTATTTACCAAAAATTTTACCCTTAAAAATATTCAATTACATAATTATTTTTTATTTTTGTATATTATAGCACATTTCAATACAATCGTATACGTCTAATTGTTTGAAATTATATTGAAATGTAATATAAATTTTTAATATAGATATAAATATAAAAATAAAAAATAATTGTCTAATTGGATGTTTGTAAAAGAAATTTTTTTTATGAATAGTTTAATTTTAGAAAATTTTTTTCAAAAACACATATCATATAAAGTTTAATATTTGAATTAAAATTGATACATTTTAATTATATTAGAATTACTATTGAGTTTTTCTATTTTAACTATATCAACTGTTCTAAATTCAAAATATTTTTTAAAAAAATATAACAAAAATATAAAATTTTATTTCAAAACAGAAACTTACACGACCACGTAGAATTAAACACTGCTATGTGAAAACATAGTTGTTTATAATTGTACACTGAATTATACACAGCGTGTGCCAACATGATCATATATAATTGTACATGACCGTGTAGTTTTAAAGTCAGTTGTCACGTCAGTCACACTACGTCCACATCAACAATTTTTATTACTTTTTTCAATTTGATACCAAAATTGATTCAAATTGTTTATAATTGAACTAAAATTGTTGATTTTTTTTTATATTATAACTAAAATTGATAAATTTTAATTATATCGGACCAAAATTGATTTTTTCTCTAATAATAATAATAGGATTGTCCAATCGGGCCGTACATTCTTGGCATTATATATTTTGATCGACCATTATTACTATTGTTCCTCTCTATCTTTACATTTGTATATATTTATAAACGCAGAAATATTTTTGTACCAAAAATTTATGAATTCTTTTTACATATTTGTAACGCAATAATATTTTATATTTTTAAATAGATTAAAATTTAAAAATTATCTTGTAAATATACATAAAAGTAGAATTTTAATTATATGAAATTTAATTTAGTATTGTATCATTTTAATATTTATGTAATGATTGTTTTAATTTATCATTTTATAATTTTTGTATTTGACATAATATTTGTTCTTTCATTTAACTTGTAAAATAATGGTTAATAATATATAATTATTTATTTATATTATAAACATATTATTAAGTAATAATAAATAATTGTGTAAATAATAAAAGTTGGGTGTGAGTTATAAATATACAAATTTATTTAAATTAACATATAAATTAGAATGTTTAGATAATATTTTTTTTGGAGTAAAAAATACAGTTTAGATTTGAAATAAAAATACTGTACACTGCATTTTTAAGTTAAAACTGTGTAAATAGAGTTTGGGTCAGAGATGACTAAGGCATGCAACAATAATCACTTAGGTCATCTCCAACCGGACAAATCTATTTATGCAAGTACAACTTTAAAAATGCAGTTGTTACAATAATTTTATTGCAACCTATAGCTCTATTTTAATTCCAAAAAGAATATTATCTAAATATTTTATTTTATATGTTATTTTAAACAAATTTTTTATATTTACAATTCACACCCACTTTTTATTATTATTTACATATTTCTTTTAATTATTCTTACTTAATAATACATTTATAATATAAATAACTAATATTTTATTGTTAAAGAAAATAATTTTTAAAAATTAAATAAAAAACAAACAAATATTATATTAAATACAAAAAATTACAAAATGCTAAATTTAAAAAAAATATTACATTAACTACAAAAATTATACAATGCTAAATTAAAACAACATTATATTAAATACGAAAGTTACATATGCGATTAATTATCCGAATTACTATAATCCTCTCATATATGTTCAATCAACTCATTACGAAGTGATATGTGAACTTCTCTATCTATAAGTTGCATGTATTGCTGAAAAAATTATTCACATTGAGCATGTTAGCCTCTTTCCAACTCAACTTCAATAGGCGGTATTTCGATCCGCTCAATAATTTGAACACTTAGATCGTGTTCCTCTTACTTACCATATTATGTATGATGATACAAGTAGTCATCATATCATGCAAAATATATTTTTGCCAAAAATGACTAGGTCCGGACAAAATTCCGCAACGCGACTGTAGAACATCAAATGCACGTTCAATGTCTTTTATACGACTCCTGCTTTTGTGCAAAAAGTTTCTTATTCGAATCTCTTGGATCATGAATTGTTTGCATAATCATTGACCACTTCAGATAAATACCATCAGCTAAATAATAACAAGTATTATATTGTTTCCCTTGGATAACATTGCTTATCAGAGGAGAAATTCCACTAGTGAAATCTGAAAATAAATGTGAATTCTCCAAAACGTTGAAATCATTGTTGATTTTTGGTAAACAACAATATGCATGTCAGATCCAAATATTATAATCTACCAATGCTTCTAGAATAATAGTTGGTGAACCGCTTCGACCTGCATATGCATCTTTCCAAGTAATTGAACAATTTTTTCATTCTCAATGCATACAATCTAAACTACCCAACATACTTGAAAAACCACGAGATTCGCCAATTTGAAGTAGTTTCGCAATATCATTAACATTCGGTAATCTAAGATATTGTTCAGAAAAAACTTCCACTACAACATGATAAAATTATTTTACAGTCTCAGTGACCGTTGATTTGCCTATTTTAACATATTCGTCAGTTGCATCTACAGTTGTACCATATGTTAACACGCGAAATACAGACGTTGTTTTTTGATAAGACGACAATCCAGGATGACCAAGTCCATTATATTGTTGTTGAAAATATAAATCATGTTGTTTAATTGCATCAACAATACAAACAAAGAAACTTCGAGACATTAAATTACGAGCATCTTCTTCACGATTACTATTAACAACTTTATGACCTGACATAGACACTCGACGGATTGGTTGCTATGAATTGGAAAAATGATCGAAACAAATATTATTTCGCTCGATAACTGAGATGTCTACCTTGACACATGCACTTCTAAGTATTTTCTAGGATGTGTTGGCCGATTCCATCGTCTTCCAACTAAGATGTTGATGAAGAACTTTGAGCAACCACATTCGAAGGCCTTCCCATGTTGAATTCATTTCTACACTAGATAAATATTTTGTATTTGGTTGAAGTATGTAATATATGCCAAAAAGGTGATAATTTATTTATGATGTATAAGCACAACGTTAGGTGGATCTAATGGCTCTCATTTGATCCATCGTGTTAGGTGAATCAAACAGCTCTCATTTAATCCATCGTGTTATGTAGATCGAACAGTTCTAATTTAATCCATCGTGTTAGGTGAATCCAATAGCTCTCGTTTGATTGGCCGTCTTAGGTAGATCGAATGACTCATTTTAATCCAATGTGTTAGGTTAATTGAACGGCTCTCATTTAATCCATCAAAATGTTTTTATTTGTCCAAACTATAATTATCGCACTTCTGATAATGTTGAAGGCTAAAATCCAGGATTTGGTGGTATTCAATTGGAACTGCTGCAGGTTGTATCGGAGGAACTGTAACTGCTATAGGTAGCATCGCAGAAAAAGTATGCCCAAATTTGGTATCGGCGCATATATTATTTAGTGTTGGATGTCTATTGTTGATGAATTTAAATTTGGCACTGGACTTTTTCTTGACTCCTCACATCGAATGACATTCATTTCATTATGAATGACCGAACGGAAGATCAGTTAGTTGGTATGACACTTTGTACATAAAATCCTGAAGCCAAATTGCAATGTCAAAGAAAATTATTGATGGATGAAGACAGTCGCCACCTGAAGAAAAGTAGTATTATCCTCCACTCATGAATTTTCGTCTTTTTGTTGTGAACTATCTTGGAAAGACAGCCCCTACAAGCCGTCCGGAAAATTATTGTTGTTTTCTCTTTATTCTTCATACTGAATTCTCGGATAGCAATTTCACACCCCTAGTCCTATTGGGTGTGTCAATTATGTTGGTCTGGAAATAAATTTCATCCTTGAAATTCTCGTTCTGTAAGATACAATGAGTTCCTAGGTTATTCGATGTGAGGTGTCGGTGATACGCAACTATTCTTTTCAAAACAAGAACAATAGTAAATTTCAATTAGAGGAAACCACACAGAGATAAGTTGTATTAAATTGATAATGTTAATTACAAGAACATTACAAACTATTCTAAAGGAGAACCAAGAAAATAAAAATAATAAGAACCAAGAAAATAAGAAGAAGAAGAAGAAATAATATTGGTATGATGGTCAGATGTCTCTTCCAATGTGATTCAACGTTGGTGGGTAAAAAGAAACTCATGGGCTGGAACACATACACATAAGAGGCCAACTCCTCCGAATCTAATGGCAACGGAAATAAGAAATCACAAGAGGTTTGCACTTCGAAAACACGTGGTATTATTCTATGGTTATAACTCTTGTGTGTGTCATAGATACTTGTCTATGATTGACCAAGATCAAACATAAAACAAACAGCACACAAGATTTGTTAACTCAGTTCAGTGTAACTACCTACATCTGAGGGATTTCAATCCAGGAGACGTCCTTTAAAGCTATCACCAGGTATACAAGGGACTCAATGACTTAACAACCACGGACCCAAAACTAGGGATTAAACCGCAGTTCTAATCCTAGCATACTACAAGTCTAACTGAAAGTTAGCGAGTACAGGTTGATCTTCTTCTCCTAGTGGAAATCCATTTCCCCCTTCTTCAGATGAGCTTCAAATCTCCGTGAAAACTCAGATTCTTTTTCAGATCAAGGAGTAATGAAAACGAAAAGATGGAGAAAAAGTACAATCTTTCTCGATTCAAAGACACTTTTCACTCTGTTTTCACTCTTCTCACAAGACAGTTTCACAGTCTACTAATACAAACAAACACACTGCTTCAATGCAGTGTTTGACTAACCAATATTGAGATATCAAATGCACCACCATAAACTTGCAACATTGTTTTGTCTTATCCTGAACATTCTGTTATGTTTGACAATCTATGTCAAGATAAAACATGTGCAAAAGGACACAAACATACTATACAAAAAGTCTTCGACAATAGTATGATGCATTCCATATTTAAATTGTCCTTGAATTCCGATACCTTGAAAAATTAGTACATATGTCAAAACAAGAAATGATACTTACGAACTGAATCAACCATAGTATTTAATGTCCACGTATTGCTCATTAATCATTATTTAATCATTTTTGTAATGGCCAATTAATTATCATCAATTTTTCCTCTTGCCATTGTCGCCAAACCGTTCCCTCACTCGTCTAAACTGTGAGCTAATTTTTATTTTTATTTTTTATATTTTGGCATTTAAATTACAAACAACCCAACGTGCGCTTTAAACATCAGCTCAATCTCTTTCCAATCCGTCTCGCCATCTTGCCTAATTCATTGTAAATTCTCGTCGTCCCGCCAATATATTTTTCATGCACCAATAAACTTGAATATGATATTTTATAACATCAAATAATTTTATTTTATTTTTTATATAGAAATTCTGAAAATTGTATAACTGAAAAAAAAAAATAAATAAATAAAAAAAAAGAAAAATCAAAGTAATCCAACACTAATAAACTATTCACTGTTTCTTTAGCAATCTACCTATGAGAAAAATGGAAATGATTCTACTTTATTTAATGTAATTCTGAAATCAATTAAATTATTCCAAAGGCCAAATCTAACCGTGTAAGTTGGAAGATTGTGAGGCACACGTAATTTCTCTAGCAATTTATTTTATAGGTTTTTGTAGACCCCGAATAGATATGAGCCACAAATGCAAAATCGCAGGCCCATTTATAATATTAATAACAATTATTATAATAGTAGTAGAATCATGACGATATTGGTTAAGGTTGGATAAAGGAAATTAAATCCACGGTGGACAAATAATCTGAGACCATGTAGATATTTCTGATTAAAAAAAGCACTTGGCTATTACATCCAAGAGAATACTCCAGGTGCCGAAACCAGATGAATCTGGACCGTTGATGTTGTGGGGTCAGAAAATTGAAGGGCGCAGATTTATCTGGTGTTGGAAGTCCAGGAGTAGTTGAGAATGAAATGATATAAATGGTCTTTATTGTGTATGCATGGGGCACCCTACGATTTGCCAGTTCCCTTATAAGTATCTCCACATGCACACCAAGGGTTAACCTCTATTTATATTTTACTCCCTTTTTAATTTTACTATTATATCCCTAATAAATATATATATACACATTTTATATCTATAGAGAGAAAGAGAAAGAGAGAGATGGAAGGTGGTGGCCGGAAGGTGGCGGTGATTAGAGAGGTGGCGGCGTGGGCGGCGATGGTGGTGGTGGAGGGATGTATTATTGGACTGACCATAATGGCTAACAGTGCAATGGCCAAAGGGATAAGCCCTTTTGTGTTTGTAGTCTATGTTAATGCTCTTGGATCTCTCATCTTACTCCCCTTCTCTTTCCAGATCTTCCATAAAAATAGGTAATTATTTATTAATTGATTATATATATAGATGTGCAAATGCAATGAGGAGAAGTAATATAGTATAATATTGATTTGGTAGTTCAGGTCAGAAGAGGGTTCTGCAGTGCTGAGATGGGCTTTTGTGGAGAGAGTGTTCGTTCTTGGTTTAATAGGGTGGGTTAGTCTCAGTCTCCTCCTTCACAGGGGTTTTATACTTTTACAGTTTTACTTACATAGATGTATATATATATATATGTATATACAGGGTGTGCATAGCTCAGAATCTTGCATTTGTAGGGCTGAGTTACAGCTCTCCCATAGTGGCCTGTGGCATGGCCAATCAGATCCCTGCTTTTACCTTCATTCTTGGAATCCTCCTCGGGTTTGTTTCTTTGTTTACACCATTAATAATTCTTACACACACATGATACAGGGTAATAATGATTGATATTAATCAAAGTTGGTATATATGTGCTTAGACCCGTTAACAACCCGAGCCAAGCCAAACTTTAAGTGTTCGTTAATGTCCGGGAACAAGGCTCGTGTTCATTCGTTAAGCTTTCGAGTTCGTTCGTAGTGTTCGAGCTCGGCTCGTTAAGAATTTTTGTTGTTTGAACTCATGTTCGTGTTCGGCTCGTTCGAGCTCATTTGTCTCATTTTTTTTAATTTATATATAACTTTACAAAAAATTAAAATTATTTTATTTATATATTTTAATTTACTATTTCATTTATTTATAAATTATAATTTTATATGTATATATAATATTTATAATAAATATATTATTTAAACGAACATTCGCGAACAAAGTTCGGGCTCGTTCATTAACCAAACGAGCCTGTTTATATTGTTCAGCTCGACTCGTTAACGTTCGTAAACGAGCTTTAACTGAGCTGAGGTCACTTGGTTTAACAACTTTATACGTGCTTCACTATCCCACTTGCACCAGTGAGAGGCAGAGCTAGCCATGTATCGAATATGTGGTTGCCCGTGTACGGGTATATAAATGTAGTTATTTTAGACTCTCTTATATCTTTTGTAATATTTTTAAACTAAGAAATAACATACTATATTTTATTTTATTACATCACTTAAATAAAAAATAAATATATATATATTTTTTCTTTTATCATATTATATAATTCACATTTTATTCCACCTATTTAAATTTTTGTGTAGAAATTAAAATATTGCACCTTACTTGCATTGCACAAAGGGAGTAGTGCATACTAGTGATTTTATTTTATTTTCCATGATTGGTGGTATGTTGTGACACCACAAACTGCAGTTGGCATTGGCAACATTGATTATGGGATTCCCTACAGTTGTGGGCCCTATATATCGATGATAATTATACCCCCTGTTTATTTTATAATTTTGAAAATTTACCATTATTTTAATTTTTTCAATAATATCATATTAGATTTTTTTTTTTTTTTTTTTTTTTTTTTTTACGAAATATCATACTATTAAACATTACTAAATTTTTACTATTCTTACTATTATTATTATTTTTTTTTTATTTCAGAACTTTCTTATTTATACTGCTGCATATAAAAATTCCTTTAATTTGGACTTTTGAATGATTGTGAGTGATTCTTGAAGTTGAAGACACCAATCTGCATTTAGCTCTTTGACGAGGTGTCCAAAATGCAAAATAATCTGCTGACGTTATACATAATTTAATCCACCTTTCGCCATCACCCGTTTTTACATTATATTGTATGTTTGCGTACAATAGCATATAACAACATCAGTTGTATATATTATATATTGTACTAGATAAATATAAATATATTGCAATCAATAATATATTATTTTATATAAATTAGCAACTGGGGATTGTAAACACAATGATCGAAGTTAGGTTGGTTGCATGTCCTCCCATGCAGTCTGATATCTCAAGAATTGCAGAAACCTCCATGAATTATTAATTTGTTGTAGCTTTGATGCAATGATGAATCAGAACAACAAGATTCGAGTGGAGCAGATCGAGCAGCCAGGCAAGATTAATAGGGAGCTTGGTATCATTAATGGGGGCCATTTGCATCACCTTCTACAAAGGCCCTGCTGTCAGAACCACCCACCACTCACTATCCCTATCCCTTTCTCGCCCCCCGCTGTTGATCTTCTCTTCCCCAAATCAGACCAATTGGGTTCTTGGCTGCACTCTATTGGCAGCTTCTTCATTCACTTTAGTCATCTGGAATTTCGTCCAGGTATTATATCTATATCTATATTAATATTTCAAATTAAATGGAGTATATATATATTATGTAATAATCAAACAAGGTTTTTGAATTATTTCTGGAGTCAGGTGGGGACTGTCAAACTATGCCCACAAGTGATGAAAATAGTCTCCTTTTATACCCTATTTGGGACAATCCAATCAGCTGCAGTTGGTGTGTTCTTAGAGAGGGATCCCACTGCTTGGAAGCTGGGCCTTAACTTCCAACTTCTTGTCATCGTTCTCACAGTAACACTACTATATATCCAATTTACTTTCATGTTCTTCTCACAATCATAATCATGCATACACGATATATATATATATATAAATAAAAGTTTGAAACTTGGTAACAGGCAATCTTCAGCAGCCTGATCCGAAGCAATGTGCAGCTATGGTGCAGCAAAGTAAAAGGCCCTCATTTCGTGGCCATTTTCAAGCCAGTTGGGATTCCTTATGCAAGCACCTTCGGCTGTTTGCTCTTTTCAGATACTTTCCATTATGGAAGGTCTTTTACGATATTCCTTAATTCATTTAAGATTTTTTAAGTAGTATTTTTTATTATTAGAAAAACTATTTTTTAGTTTCTTAATTGAACTTTTTATTATTTTAGTCCTCTATCCAGAGCTTATCGCAAACTAGTTTTATAAGTGAAAAAAAAATTTTAGTTTAAGGTGTGGCTCGCCGGAAGGCACGCATCGGCTACACTTAGTAGACATATGAATTTTTTATTTTTTTAAAAAATTTGTATATATATATTTGTATTTGATCCAATTTTTTTTTTTTTAAAAAAAATAAGATAATATATAAATTTAAAAAGTTTTAAAAAAAAATTTCACGCGTGGCCTCCGGCAAAGCACACAGGCATCTCCCGTGCCGGATGACTAAAAGTGCGAAATTTTTTCACACAAAACTAGTTTGCAATAGACTTTAGGACTAAAATTATAGAACGGTCAAATTACGAACTAAAATAACATTTTTTTTTTTTATATTTCACTTATTGTCGCGCTCTACGAGTCAAGACATATATTGTAGACAACAATAAGTGAGATATTAGATTACTTTCATATAGAGTCCGTTTAAAGTGAACAAAATAATATAAAGTCACTTAAAAAATTAAATTCATATTTTCTATTAGTTTTATTAATAATTATTTTATTGAATGCATGTGTGTGTAGCATGTTGGGGGCTTTTATATGTGGAATTGGATATTATACCGTGCTATGGGGACAAATTAAAGATGAAGAAACAAGCAAGTTAGGCCATGGAAGCAAGTCTTGCTCTTCCTCAAATGATGATCTGAAGAAGGTTCCTCTCCTGCAAGAAGCTTTTGATCAAGTATGAGGCCTGTTCTGTTCGAGAAGTAAATAGCTAGCAATGCTAAATAAAAAGAATTGCATTTTATTGTAATTAGGTAAATCAGGGTCGGGTTTTTGGACCCTCCATTTCAACCAAAGAAATGGCATAGTGTACAAAGTGTACCTACATTCATATATATATATATTATGGTGGTGTTTGTTCAATTTATTAATACATGCAAAAATTCTACATATAAATTAACTATTAACTATGTTAATAACACAATAATATATACAACCTCCGTCTCAATTTGATTTTAGCACGAGATTTTAGGTGAGTAGCATTATGTAAGATAGTTTAAATATTAAGTGATGTGATTGAAATAGAAATATATTATTATACTGTTTGAAAATATTGCATGGTGTTTGAGATGGAGAAAGTACTATACAATTAATTAAACTATAAATATACAATACACAGTATAAAATAGAACCGATAAGACAAATTGATACTTATGCGGCATATGCTCTCAGTTATATATTTTCATGCTATACTTGCATTATATTTTTATGTACTAGTTGAGACAATTAACAATAATTTTGAAAGGAAAGACAAAAAACACAATCTTTCCTTTCCTTTCCATTCCATCAACTAAGTTGCCCTATTGTTCTTGATCATTTGCAACAAAATCTCATTCCAAGTATCAATAGGGCCAGGCAAGCACCAATGCACACAATCATTTTGTACCCGATCCGAAACGCCGTTCTTAAAGGGGAATGGAATCATGTACGGTCCGGGGTGGCCGTCAGGCCGGAGCAAAGACAACTCGGTGACATCTAAGGCCTTAAACCTAACCCTACCTTCCTTAAACATCTGCTGTGCTTCATCCACTTTGTCCACTCCAATTCTCCTCATTTCTGCATTAGCCCCTTGAAGAACTTCCTCCCCAGCCTTGTATGGCTTTGTCTTCGAACAAGACCCTAATTTGTCCCAATCCCCTTCGAAATGTGCAGGCGGAAATGTTGTCAGAAACACATCCAGGGAGTGCTCGATGGACCTTCTTCTCTGCACTATTGCCTGGAAAGCTGTCTTCAATGCTTTCCCATAAACATCGTAGAATCCGATCTCGGTGCAGTTGTCGAGGATATGGCAACCTAGTACTTGATCCTCGTAGTGGAAAACTGCCGACAGCAAGTACCACTGTCCCGACGCCATAACCAGCATGTCGAAGCTAGACAAATCTCCAGCCCATCTCTCGTCCACCTTGTCTAAATACAGCGTGTTGAAGTTCTGCCGATCGGGGGAATGCTCTATCCCTTTTACAAGAAATGGCGACCAGTAGATCGAAACGTTGATGTTGTGTGAAGGGAGATGCCATTTTCTGAACCTGTTGTCGTCTCCGCCGGAAAAGGTCAGATTCGGCTTCGACACGGTGGCTATCAGGCAAAGCAATGATTCGAGCTGATTCCTTGCCAGGGAATCTCCGACAAAGGCGACGTGCTTGTCTTTCATTAGATTAAGGAATGTGTTTGGATCGAACCTGGGGAGATCGCATTCTTGAGGCTTCCATTTCCAGTGGAGATATTCCCGATCAGGCCTGCCGAAAACGACGCAGTTTTGGCCTTGTTTGATTGTGCCGCAGGTTGTCCCGTTGTATAAAGGCTCCAGATTCGTCGGCACCCATTCTCCCTTGCTGTAATCGCACGTTGTTGTCTTGTTAGAATCCAAACCCCCTGCGGGAAACGTTACGATAATCTTCTGATCTGAATCTGATCATGGAAACGGAAATCTTGAAACCCTAAATTGTTTGCATACCTTGGCTTGGGGCATCAACAAAGGGATAGGGATAGGGATAGGGATCGATTTGGGAAACGGAATTGGAATTGTACAAACTGTTAATGTTAATGCTCTGATTGTAATAAAAATGGCTGATGATGACGAGGGCTACAATTAGGGCACACAGAAGATAAGACCAGGTGAATTTCTTCTTTCTGCCATTGGATAGGTTGTAAAGATCTGAAGATGATCCCATCGCAGATATAAATACATACATACATTACATATAGATAAAAATATATATGTATATATCGATTATATCTGGTGGTAAAAAACACGATCTTGGCGTCTGTCTGTTTGTCTACCTGTCTGAATAAGAATAGAAAAGTGTAAAAAGGAGAGATGCCTCCATTGGAATATCCTTCAATTTCCTTGAAAAAGGGTGTAGAGGGTCTTCTCGAGAATCATATCCCAATTTATTTGGTTGGCCAACTAAATTTAATTTGTTTTGTTGGCTGTAATTATTGGTGCTGATATTCTGGCGGGTTTGATTCATGCATTTAACGCTATTTATATTATATTTTTCAACGGTAAATCAGTGCAATAGCGGGATGTTAATTAATTAATATCCAATTGATTCAATGTTTATCGCTAATACTGGTTGGTCAAGGTAAAAAGCAATAACCAAATAATTATAACTTCAAATAATATATTAATGATTATTATAATCTTAATTAAAAAATAAATTTATTACATGTGTTTTTATTTGATGTTGTCATGTGGCCAAAAACTTGGTCACTAATTTCATCGTAGGATGCCTATATATGGATGCATTTCATCAATAAAATGCCTATATGTGTATATATATTATATTCACACAACTTCTATATATATATATAAATATATATATACACGCGTACAACTTAAACATTATATATTTTATATATTTCATAAAAATTTAATCATTATTTATAATAACAAAATATTTTGTTAATTTGTTGTATTTTTTTTTTTATCTTTCATCTTACATTTTCCAATAAATAGAAAAAAAAGGTAAACCGTTTGAGCTACACTCCCTCCACAATATGGAAGGCTTTGGTTGCATACAAGATTCTACGACAATCCTTTTACGTGGCAGCATCCGTCCTAAATTTTTGCTAGACTACTTCAAAATTTTGATTTTTTTTATTTATCCAAATTCAAAAATAAAAACCAAGTACTTAATAAATTAATCCGGCAAACCAACTAAAATCGAACGTTAAAATAAGAACCAAAGTTCCATAAGCAATAACACAAAATTCGCACTTCATACAAATATTTTGTGGAACAAAACTCAAAATATAAATATAATGAAACCAAATTAAGTACTTCAACATACAGGAGACATACCGGAACTCGTATCAGAGTCTTATTTGTTAAAACAGACGTCGATCCTTTCGAGTTGCTCTATAATCATCATAGAAAAAACCCTCTATCCGTTTCTACCATGCCTCCATGACGGTCATAGTCTAGACCATCCGGCGTGCATGGCTTTTAAACAATGTCCGCTCTGGGGGACCATCTATGACAACAACTTAAGTACAAATATTCTCTTCTTCTTGTTTAATGCACCAAGGAAAGGCATGTCTCATCTCATCTATACTTTGTATCACTGAATTGAGTCATCCCTTCCGTGATGACTCTTATGTCTTCGTAAAAAGTATAGTTTAACTGAAATTAATATGTAATTAAAAAACTTGACATCTTTAGTGAAGTTTTGAGGACCGAGCGTGACCCGCTTATATGTAATACCTCTGTAGTTCGGCTTGTGCTAAACCAATTCTCGTGTATGGATGAACCGGTGCTAGGTCATTCGAGATTGAATAGAGGTTAAATTGATTGAATAGATTATTTATGTCAATAATATGCACATTTTTTTTAGCTTTACTGAAAGAATTCTAGAGTTAAGTGTCCTAACCTAGAGTGATTTGGGGAGAGTGACCCTTGGAAAGTCTCACAGAGTGCGCGTGAGTAAGGACATAAGTGCGCTGGAATGACGTGTGTTGACTTGTAGGGCTAGTCTAATTTAGACACGCCCGGTCAGCATAGCTTGCGGGCCGGGGTGTCACAGTTGGTATCAGAGTTGATCTACGATAGCCTACAGTCTTTGACTGGATTGTTGAGGGGCCTACCAGTTGACGGATCCTTGGTGTGCAATGCGGATGAGTGGGGGAGAATATAATACCTCCGAAGTTGAGCCGGTGCTAGGTCAGCTTTCATGTATAGATTAGCCCGTTCTAAGCCATTCGAAGTTGAATAGAAATTAAATGAATTGAATACGCGCATAAGTGATGACAGAAGCGTGCTGGCAACAGAAGCATGCTGGCAGGACTCGTATTGACTTGTGGGGCAAATCTATGATCCTGACATGCAAGACTTTGTATGACTTGCAGGCCGAGATGTCACACGATATGATGGACTTAGGTTGGGCATTAGGATTTCTAGCACGTCAGTTTTCCTTTTAAGTCTCCGATCTCTTCTAGGCGCCTTCACTAATCCACGTCTCCCTTTAGATCTTCAACACAAGGGGAGATGGTTGTGCACGGTTACCGTATTAATTTTCAATTACAAACTTTAACTAGCGTAGTTAAATTACGTAAAGACACTTTCCTTGTGTGCACGCCTCTATCTTGATGCGGCTGTCTTCGTTGGGTCTTGCAAAGTGTTTTGCCCGCTAATTCTTGTCCCCATTTCTCTAAGTATATAAATATTGTTTTTGAAAAAGTAAAATAATAAATTTTCTTTCTAACTTGATGTGTTGCCTTGGACAGTCCCAAGTGAAGCTAGTGCCGCTACTCCTGCCGATGTCGACACACCTACAAAGAAATTTGTAATTTATTTCTACAAAAAAAGTTGTTAAATCAACAAATAAATGGTTCAAATTCTCTAAGTTTACGTACCGGCCTCGCCCCCACTCCATTGATGTGTCTGCATTATGCATTCCTCCTGCTCAGCCTATTGTAGTAATCTAGCTAGATGATTGATCAAGTTGACGTAGTTGCTTCCGATGCACCAACTTCTTTTTGTCTTGAGACATTTGCATTATATATAGCACATATAATTAATAAGAAAATATCAATAAATAAAAAATGTATTAGAAGGTGCATGGATGACCTAATCCTCAGGAAAATTATTGCTAGAACTCTCCGATGTAAGTTGATTATGTTCGGATAATGAAGATGTTTCAAAACAATTTTCATCATCATTTGTTTTTTTTTTTTATTTGATTGAGGCGTTTATTGGTATCTCAGTCCCGCCATTTACCGATACTAAATAATATTGTTCCCCGGTCATAGATGTTTCAATAATGCAAGTTTCCAGCACTACATCCCGGAAGGTTTTTGTTTCTGCCGGACTTTCTAACTTATCGTCACCCACATCAATCTAATCTTGTGGTTTGACTCGGCATACCACCCATCAATCGGCTTTATCCCTCTTTAATTATACTCGGGAATGAAAGATAACATACTTATGTTGCTTGCGTGACAAATATGAATGGTTCATAATTATGGAGTTTTTTTTTCTTCTTGTTGACCTCTACCATACTATATCTTTCACACTTCTCAATTCCGAACTCCATCTTTAAAATTTCTTGGATATGACCGTAGTATTCTAAACCGCCACTATCTACCCATACTTCGTTGTTACATGTAGCTTTCTTTGAACTGTATTTTTTAGTGTGGAAATGGTAAATATTGATTAAGTACATGTTTTCATGGTCACCTTCACCAACGGGACCGTAGGAGATGTCCTTGAAAATTTTTGGATGTTATTTCATTCTATAACCTACCATGTATGTCAGATTACATTACACATATTGTTTGAGAAACAGAGAAATAAACATAAAGATGTTATTTCTGAGTATAAAAAATACTAATATTTAAAATATGTATAATATATTTTGTCAGCATAATAAATGAACATAATTATATAATTTTATGTTTTTCATACTCCAAACCTATGTGTGATCTTTGCGATTTTTATACTCTTATACTCACTTATAAGTATTGTCCTAATTATTTTTTATAATTTTTTAAAATAAATTTAATTAAATTTATTACACAATTTATAAAATTATTACTAGTTTTAATATAATTGAAAATATTAAATATTAAAAATTTATTTTAGATTTATTTTAATTAATTCAAATATTAAAATTATAAACTTTCATACACATATTAGATTTATTAAATAATATTTTTACAAATTTATAAAATTTAAATTTAATTGATAAATATGATAATAACTATTAATACAAAATAGAATTTAAAAACATAAAAGATTACATCTATAAACACTCATAAGAAATAATATACATATTTAGAAAAATATAAAATAGTATATATAAACACCAAGTAATAAGAAATTATAAACCTTAACTATTAGGTGAAAGTTTTTATTTCAAATTATTGAAAAAGTTTAAATCAATTAATAATTTTTTATAAACAAATCAAAGAAAATAATAATTAAAAAATGCAAAAAAATAGGAAAAAGCAAAAAGGTATATAATAGAAATAGTAAATAATAATATTTTATATTAAAATATTAATTTCCCTTAGGTCCGAAGCCAAAATCTAAAGACTTTTGACACTCGTGAGTCCACTCTCACGAACTAAACCATATCTATGTTTGAATTTACAATATGATATTTTTATGTTTAATATGTGCTATTGTTATACTTATTAATTTTTGTATTTTTCTGATTTAATTTTTTCGTAATGCCTTTATAATAATAATAATAATAATAATAATAATAATAATAATAATAATTGTGCTTATTAAATATAAAAACAATGTTTATTTGATGTGTATTCTATAATTTTTCATGTTCCTCTAAATTCAAAGTACTTTTCAAATTATTTTGGTGTGTTCTATTCAAGAGTATATGTTTTTTATATAGTAAAATAATTATAAATTAATATTAATATTCTCAATTTTTATTTAAATTATAAATATACCATTACATATATAAATAATCTATAGATAAAATCAAATAGTAAAAATATAAAATTTATACTAACTAAATTGTTACGGAAATTCCAAGAAATCAAGATGAGATAATAATGACAAAAGAACACAAGAATTTGGTAACCCAGTTCGATCACGATAATTTACGTCTGGGGGCGTTGCCTAGCCAGGAATTTTACTATAAAGTACGCAGACACATGTTAAAGTGAGAATACATTGATATTTATAGCCTAAGCCTTTGACAATAAT